CGTGTCTGGCAGGCCCCCCCCCCCCCCGCTAGATCACACTTAAGCCCCTTCCACGGAGTTGCAGACTCTCTCATTTTCTGCCTCACCGCCCCCGACAAGAGACGAGGTGCCCTTCTCCCTCGTCTTTCCACCGCTGTGGCCCGAAATGGTGGCTTTTCCGTGGTGTTCCCGGCACAGGGGATCCGAGGGCAGGGTGCCGGGGCCCTTGTACCAGCCTGAATCAGGGGATCTGATGGACATGTGTTTGGACGCCTTGGCCCCTCGGCGGGTCCTGCCCTCGCCCAACACTCCCCTTCCGGCTCGGCACACCTGCATCCCTCATACTGAATCTTGACTCCAGAAACACGGGGTAGGGCCAGTGTTACCGGATGCTCCGTGGGGAGATGGAGGAGGGGCCGCTTCTCCCACCGCAGAGTGGCTTCGGCAAACTCGCAATCTGGCAACCTTGCCTCCCACGCAAGTTCCTTCCGCGGCTAAAATCGCTCCTTCTCTTCATCCCCGAGGCCTCTGAAAATAAGCGCCCCTCCACTGCTCTCGGTGATTCAGCTCTGCCTGCAGCTTGAACACGTCCCCAAATCCTTCCACCCCATCACGCTCAGGGGCGTCCTGGGTAAGAACAAAAACGGTTCAGGTGCTGAAGCAAGTTTGACTAGCATTCATCCAAGACTTGAGATCTTTCTGGAGAGGATGTCTAGTGGACACCATCGCCGGGCCTGGGACCGCGCTGCGCGGGGCGGGGTTGTCAGCCTGGAATTTGCGCATGCGCCGTGGTTCCGCGGAGACGCGTCTGTTGCCGGGACTGCCGACCGAGGGCATCCGAGGGGTGCAGCTCCTGCACCCACGTTCTTTCTCCAGCAGCAGTCTTTTGTCCAGGAGGCCAAATGCTAGGGGCTTCTCAACCTAATTTCAAAGCAACACTACACAACTCATGGAAGAAAGACGACGAGTGATGAGAAGACACCGGGCGGGCGGCCGGGCGCGGGGGTGCCCTCCCACTCTCGCGGGCTGGGATTCGGCCTCCTCTCCACGTTGCTGTCTCTGCCCGTGGCCCTGGACTCACGAAGACGCTTCCTTCCGTGTCCCGGCTGCCAGCAGAATGTAGCTGACTGGCCTTCCTCTGTGCTACCCCAAACACCCAGCCCCCAGCCCAAATCCTCCCGGCGGTAGCAGAGAGTATCTTTAAACCCAGGCTCTGTTTTAATCATTTACATCGCTTTCTTCTAAGAAAGCCGCCTTCATTTACCTTCCTTAATTCACAAACCTGCTAACGTTGTCTTAAGGTGAAATGGCTGTAAAATCAGTATTTAACTAATAAATTTATCCGTATT